GTTTTGACTCTGTTGAGGCTGTAGGTAATTTTTTTTTAAGTTGGCTCCAAGCCCAGCATGGAGCTCAACGTGGGATTTGAATTCACAACACTGAGATCAAGCCCTGAGCTGAGATCAAGAGTCAGATGCTTAACCAAGTGAGCCACCCAGGCATCCCCCAGATAAGTTTTATGTGATAAAATTCAGAATTACCATGGTTCTCAACCATGGTTCTCAACCCTTCTCATTTTTCTTGTTCCTTCCAGAAACTCTGATGAATAACACACATTTTCACTATACAGTTTCTTGATAAGGTGGTATAGGGGTTGAATCAGAATGTTGTAAAATCCCTCCTCACCTGTCCATTTTTCGTAAGGCTCCACAGCACCTACTGAAAAACCTCCCTCTGTGTCCAGTCACTGCCACAGCACACTTATACCTCATTTCTGACCTCTGACCCTCTTTATTATGGAAAACAGAGTTTTGTCAACCACCTCAATTCCTTGCCTTGGTTGGGGAATTTTAGGGTAAAAAAATTATCCACCTTGATATATTAAGAAACTGTCATTTCTCAACAGTCAATTTTCCCAGTTAAAAATCACAGAACCAATGTTGCAACCGTAAGCTACCATGAGCTACTCTAGCCTAAAGTAAAGAAACTCAATAGTTTAGTTTGCTTTTGCATTGCGCCGTGGAAATAAAGATCAGTCTTCTACGTACATATTTATTCACTATGCATTTTGACTTCTGAATAGCATCTTTGGATTGCTAACAGCAGAGGTTAAAAAAAGGAACCTCACGTTCAGTTTATTTTATTTTTTTTAACGTTTATTTATTTATTTTTGAGACAGGGAGAGACACAGCATGAACAGGGGAGGGTCAGAGAGAGGGAGACACAGAATCTGAAGCAGGCTCCAGGCTCTGAGCTGTCAGCACAGAGCCCGACACGGGGCTAGAACTCACGGACCGCGAGATCATGACCTGAGCCGAAGTCGGCCGCTTAACCGACTGAGCCACCCAGGCGCCCCAATAACATCACGTTCAGTTTAAAATTGTTTTCCTGGGACGCCTGGGTGGCTCAGTCAGTTGAGTGTCTGACTCTTGGTTTCAGCTCAGGTCACGACTTCACCGTTTGTGGGTTTGAGCCCCATGCTGGGTTCTGCACTAACAGAGCACCACTCGCTTGCCAAATAAACCAACTATTGAAAA